TGTCTGCACATACGTTAGTTTCCCGAAAAGAGTGTTGCAAAGTACACTCCTATTCCATTCATAGGAGCTCTCCAATGAGGGCAAGTTCATTGCATAAATGGTGGTTGAACAAAATAGGTGTTTTCAACATATTCACCACCAACAAAGAGTCTGAATAACAAATCACCTTTCTATAACCCCTATTCTAGCAAAGTTGCAGTCCATGCAACAGGGCCATAATTTCCACAAATAAGATATCTACTTTTTGAGCTCGACCACAAAAATCGAACTAGAAATTCCCTTGCCAATCCCGACCTCGGCCTCCATAAGCAGCTGCTAATGGATCACCATGCAACCTACCATCTACGTTCAGTGCAATTCCATCAAGTGAGGGCCTCTACCACGCAATCCAATGCTAAATCCTAGGTCGGGGGGCCTACACCCCAAAAGCTTGATCTGTACTGTATTTCAAGGCTTTCATTTTACAGTAGACCTCCATGTACGACCTCTCCTTCCAGCGGAAAATAAGGGAATTTTTAGTGATCACCATTGTTGTAACAGATCTTCATAAGTTGATATGGGTGATAAACGTATCAATTGTTTGTGTTGTCCAGTTGTGTTTTGGAGATGATCAATTGTTTGTCATGCATTATGAGTTGTTTATATGTCGATAAGTTTATGTTTTTGAGTCTTAATTATAAGCAATAATTATTTTAAGTTTTTTGCACCCTTTATATATATCTATTGCATGAATTTCCAAGTGACTATTGCATGAGAATTAAGTATTTATTTTATGTTTTAGTTACATAGTAATTATGTTATATTAAGTATAGTGATTTATTATATCGTTACACCTTAATTAAATAGCACAAGCTGAAAATTGAATCACTTATACTAATAACATTAAGTTATAATGATTTTTTTAACAAGGTTAAGTTAAATATAATAAATTATACATTGTACAATGATTGCAATTTTAATATTTTAAAATAAGTGATGTTTTCACTTTTCAATGTAATATTAATAACATTTTCTTAATATGTCTCTTCATAAATTATTCAGCTATCACAATTTAAAATAATGCATTTATTGGGAGAATAGGTTATTTTAGAAAAATTTTATCAAAAGTAATATATTCACTACAACAAAATTTAGTATTACTGACAATTATTTAATAACAATAAATTAATTGTCCCTATTTTATTATGTAATAAAAATATTAATGACTATTATAATGGCCACTAAAAATATATTTACATCACATCAAAATTTACTATTAGCAATAATTATTTGTTAGAAAAAACTTAAGTCTCACATCGACTATAAATAAAATAATTAAAGAGGATATAAATGAATGATTACTCCTACCTTACAAGTATGTTTTATAAAGTTGAGTTAAGCCTATAACTTATTATTCTAAGTTAGTATTTAGGAGATAAGATAATTAAATTTTTTTAAAAATATATACTTAGAAGATAACATTCATCTTCTAAGTCTCACATCAATTAAAAATAAGATAACTAAAGAGTATTTGTACTCATCTTACAAGTCCTGCATCGACTAGAAATAAGATAATTAAATAGTATTATAAATCTTTTCTTAAATTTTTAGCGGCAATTTTAAATGCTAATAACAAATTATACAAAAAGTTATACATTTTTCCCGACTATTATGAAGGTTTTTACCAGCATATAGAATAATTACTGATAAATGTTTTAGCGACACTGCATACAATGACTAATGTATGAAATGTTGGTAAAAGATTTTGTAGCAATTTTTATTGCCACTAAAAATCATATTAAATACCACTAAAAGTTCATTTTATTGTAGTTATTTATTTTCTTCTTAATCTATGTATAGAAACTTTAAAATGTATAATTATATATATATATA